CTTTCTCTTTCTCTTTCTCTTTCTCTTTCTCTTTCTCTCTTTCTCTTTCTCTTTCTCTTTCTCTTTCTCTTTCTCTTTCTCTTTCTCTTTCTCTTTCTCTTTCTCTCTTTCTCATAAAAGGTTTATTCTACGGCAATATACTCCGGAAACATATTTTATGGTAGCATATACATTTTTGTTATGGCGCACGAGCGTGTAAACGTAAGTGCGTGTGCTTGTGTGTTTGTGAGACAGAGAGAGAGAGAGAGAGAGAGAGAGAGAGAGAGAGAGAGAGAGAGAGAGAGAGAGAGAGAGAGAGAGAGAGAGAGAGAGAGAGAGAGAGAGAGAGAGAGAGAGAGAGAGAGAGAGAGAGAGAGAGCGAGTGAGAGATGTGTGTGTGTGTGTGTGTGTGTGTGTGTGTGTGTGTGTGTGTGTGTGTGTGTGTGTGTGTGTGTGTGTGTGTGTGTGTGTGTGTGTGTGTGTGAGTGTGTGTGTGTGCGTACGCGCGCGCGGGCGTGTGCGTGTCCATGTATCCGTGTGTAAGTGCTTCAGGAGAGAAAGCGTGTGAGCACGAGAGATGGGGGGGGGGGGGGGGGAAGAGAAAGAGAAAGAGAAAGAGAAAGAGAAAGAGAAAGAGAAAGAGAGAGAGAGAGAGAAAGAAAATATAAAGCAAAATACCAAGAGATAAAAAGAGACAAAACGAGAACCCAAGATATGAAAGAAAAAGAAAAAGCCAAAGACAAGACAAGAAAAAAAAACGAAGACACAAAAGAGCTATAAAAAAAAATCTAACCCCCTGCCCCCCCCAAAAAAAAAAAAACAAAAAAACTCAAAAACCAACCCATAAACTCATTGAAACCAGGAAGAAACCCAGAGAAAGAAATTTTATACAGCTTTATACTGCCCCAACCGAACTATACATCACGAAATCCCACTGCCACCGAGCTAAGCCAGCGCCCCCCCCCCACCCCCACATCTTCCCTTATCCACCCACACCCACCCCTCACACACCCCCACCCCCACCCATCCCTCACCCACCCTTAAAAAGAGAAATTCAAACCGCAAATTCCACAGCCTATGACCGCACCTGGGAAGAAGGGGGGAGGGGGGAGGGGAATGGCAGGATGGAGGGGGTATAAGGGTATCGCGTTACCTTGTCCAGTAGCTAACATTCAATACTTCACTCCCCCCCCCCCTCCTCTCTTCTCTTCCTTCCCCTCCCTCCTCTTTTCTCTCTACCCAGCCCTCTTCCATCCTTCCTTTTCCTCCTCTTCGCTTTCTTCCTCCAACTTCTTTTTTTTTCTTCTTCTTCCTCTTTCTTCTTCTTTCTCTTTCTTCTTCCTCTTTTTCTTCTTCTACCTTTTTTCTTATTCTTCCTATTCTTCCTCATTCTCCTTCTCTTCTTCTTCTTCTTCTTCTTCTTCTTCTTCTTCTTCTTCTTCTTCTTCTTCTTCTTCTTCTTCTTCTTCTTCTTCTTCTTCTTCCTCCTCCTCCTCCTTTTCATCTCACCCTCATTGCCTTTCCCTTCCTTCGTTTTCGTCTTGTCCTTCTTTTCTTCATCTTCACCTACATCAACTAGAACTATTATTTTTAAAATCATATCACTCGACCAAATGCATATTTACTGCTCATTATCTTCCACTATTAACGCTTTCTAACAACAAGGCACCTATCAATCAATTCATCAGTGACGTATAATAATCTGATTTCAATTTCTCTTCCCAGTGTTCGACGCATCCGTTCTCATTTCGCCTGCCATTTGCTTGCGATAACCGTAAACATCGATGAGAACAACTTGGTCAATATTTTTTTTATCTTTTGAGAGAGTAAGGGAGCCAGAGGAGAGAGGGGGGGAGGGAAGGATGGGGTTAGAGAGAGAGAGAGAGAGAGAGAGAGAGAGAGAGAGAGAGAGAGAGAGAGAGAGAGAGAGAGAGAGAGAGAGAGAGAGTGAGTGAGTGAGTGAGTGAGTGAGTGAGTGAGTGAGTGAGTGAGTGAGTGAGTGAGTGAGTGAGTGAGTGAGTAGAGAGAAGACTAGAGAGAACGACAGAAAAAAAGGACAAGACAAATTTCCTTCTAACTCGTTTTTCTCCGCGAGAAAAAGAACCATTATAAAGACTCCCATGCCTCTTTTAACTTACAATGCTATCACAAGAACCACATGTTGTCTCAGTCGTGCAACGCTTACAAAAGACCTGTTGTTATCCCCTTGCCTGCCATAGTGTCGGTAGCAACACGTGATACATCATTATCACAATAATCATTTGTTTTCAGCCAACAACACGTGAACTGTGCTACCACACGCCACGGCCACCCGCACACGAAAGCACAGTAATAGTCATTCGTTGTTATTTCGCTGTCGAGAAGATAAAGAAACTCTTTATTTCTCATATTTTCTCTTCTCTCCGGTTTTAATTTTTTTTTGTTTGTTCTTAGCTCTCTTGTCTCATTCTATCTGTCTTTGTCTCTTTGTCCCTCTTTGTCTGTCTGTTATTGACTATACATACTTTACCAAAGATACTGGTCTTGTCTACGATATGATTAGTGATATTTACGGTTTTTTTTCACCAACTAGAATAATTTAAGTACAATGGTACAGTTCCTCAGACATGCAGATCTAATGTTTGATTGAGAGCCCTCTACATAAATAAAAGCACAGCCAGTTTGGATTGACGTTTTGGCATCTTACCCTGGCTTTTGGAAGGGCATGTGCACTCTTCTGTAATCTAACTTTTATTAAACAAAATCTATATCTATCTATCTATCCATCCATCCATCTATCTGTCCATCCGTCTGTCCGTCCGCCCATCCTTCCTGCCTGCCTTTCTGTTTGTCTGTCTGTGTGTCTGTGTGTCTATCTGTCTGTCTGTCAGCCTGCCTGCCTGCCTGCCTGCCTGCCTGCCTGCCTGCCTGCTTGCCTGCCTGCCTGCCTGCCTGCCTGTCCTGCTTGCCTGCCTGCCTGCCTGCCTCCCTGTCTGTCTGTCAGCCTGTCAGCCTGCCTGCCTGCCTCTCTCTCTCCTCTCCATTTCTGTGTGCGTGTGGTTTCCTTTCCCATTTCCCTATTCTTTGTGCGGGTGATTGCTTTCCCTCCCAACCTGTCTTTTATGCTCGCCCTTTATCAAGCAAGCAAGCAGACAGGCAGGTTGGGTACGCTTATCCTGCTCACCCGCCGATCGGTTGTTTATGGTAAGGGAATATAGGTTTCTCTCTCTTCCTCCTCCTCTTCGTTTCTTTCTCGCTATCTCTTGTTTTCTTGTTCTCTCTTCTTTCTTTATTTCTTTCTTTCTCTTCCTCTTCCTCTTCCGCCCTTTCTATCCCTCCCTCCCTCGTTTTCCATTCTCCCTTCCCCCTCCCTCCATTTCCATCCTTCCCTTCCTCTTCATCCCTCCCTCCCTCCCTCCCTCCTTATCCCTTCCTCTCTCCCTCCCTCCTTATCCCTTCCTCTCTCCCTCCCTCCCTCCTTATCCCTTCCTCTCTCCCTCCCTCCTTATCCCTTCCTCTCTCCCTCCCTCCCTCCCTATCCCTTTCTCCCTCCCACCCTCCCTCTCCCTCCTTCCTTATCCCTCTCTCCCTCCTTTCCATCCCTCCTTCCCTCTCTTTCCATCCTCCTTCCCTCCCTTTCCATCCCTCCTTCCCTCCTTTCCATCCCTCCTTCCCTCCCTTTCCATCCCTCCCTCTCCCTCTTTCACTTTCTCCCAAAACCTCTTCCTCAGAAAAAAGTGAAGGCAAGGAACAACAACGCCTAAAACATCTAGACGTCTAACACAGACAAAGCAAGCACACGGCTAGGCATCTAGTCTCCCATCCGTCCATCCATCCAGTCAGTGATCCATTCATCAGGGATTCTCTCCGTCCCTCTATCCACCCATCCATCCATCCAAACAGACAGACAGACAGACAGACAAGACAAATAGACTGACTAACAGACAGAGAGGCATCTCTTCATCCCTCCACTATCCACTATCCCTCCTTCCCTCCCTCTCTCCATCCCTCCCTCCCTCCCTTCCTTCCTTCCTTCCTTCCTTCCTTCCTTCCCTCCTTCCCTCCCTCTCTCCATCCCTCCCTCCCTTCCTTCCTTCCTTCCTTCCTTCCTTCCTTCCTTCCTTCCTTCCTTCCTTCCTTCCTTCCTTCCTTCCTTCCTTCCTTCCTTCCTTCCTGCCTCCCCCCCCCTCCCTTCCCCCACCCACCCGAACAACCAAGCCAGCCAGCCAGACAGAGATAGACAGACAGACAAACAGACAGACCGACAGACAGACTGATAGACAAACAGACAGAGATAGACTGACTGACAGACAAACAGGCAGACAGACAGACAGACTGATAGACAAACAGACAGAGATAGACTGACTGACAGACAGACAGACAGACACCCAAGCCAGGAAGCACAGTAGACTCCACACCCGCAGCTATTCTCGGCGCCTCCCTCTCCGCCTGCTATCTAGGTCGGGGGGGGGGGGGGGAGCCCTAACCTTCGGCGTCCTCATGGAGGGATTACGGGTTGGGGGAAGGGGGGGGGGCAGGAAGTGATGGAGGAGGGAAAGCAGGTGTGGTGGAGGAAGAAGAGGAGGAGGAGGATGGGGAGGAAGAAGAGAAAGAGGAGAAGCAGGAGGGTGGGGAAGGAAAGGGAAACGAGGAGGATGCGAACGAGGAGAATGAGGAGGATGAGGAAGATGATGATGATAATGATGATGATGATGATGATGATGAGGAGGAGGAGGAGGAGGACGGCGACAACAACGACGACGAGGAGGAGGACGAGGAGAAGGAAAAAGAGAAAGAAGAGGGGAAAATGAAAGAGAAGAATGGAAAAATAAATCAATGCTTGTGGAGCAGGGAAGAAGAAAGGAAGGAGAGAAGAGGAATGAGGAAGAGGCAAAAGAGATACGTAGATATGGGAGGGAGGGAGCCGGGAGGGAGGGAAGGAGGGGAGAGTAAAAGAGAGAACACCACCAATAACAACAACAACCCTGATAAAAATCATCGCATCAGCATCAGCCATGTTCTCACCCCCCCCCCCCCCCCCCGTAAACTTCCCCTCACCCCCGTTCCTTCCCTGGCATGCAAAAGGCCAAGCACTGTAAACCGTCGTTGATAAGCGGTGCTTCTTCAACTCCCCCCCCCCCCTTCCCTTCCCCTTTTTTCCCTTTCCCTATACCCCCTCACTTCTTATCCCTCCCCCTCCCCCCCATTCTCTTCCCATACGCTCTTCCCTTCCTCTCCCTCTCCCCGTATCCCAATCGCTTCCTCTTCCCTTCCATCCCTCCTTCCCTCCCTTTCCATCCCTCCTTCCCTCCCTTTCCATCCCTCCTTCCCTCCCTTTCCATCCCTCCTTCCCTCCCTTTCCATCCCTCCTTCCCTCCCTTTCCATCCCTCCTTCCCTCCCTTTCCATCCCTCCTTCCCTCCCTTTCCATCCCTCCTTCCCTCCCTTTCCATCCCTCCTTCCCTCCCTTTCCATCCCTCCTTCCCTCCCTTTCCATCCCTCCTTCCCTCCCTTTCCATCCCTCCTTCCCTCCCTTCCTCCTCCTCCTCCTCTCTTTCCATCCCTCCTTCCCTCCCTTTCCATCCCTCCTTCCCTCCCTTTCCATCCCTCCTTCCCTCCCTTTCCATCCCTCCCTCTCCCTCTTTCACTTCTCCCAAAACCTCTTCCTCAGAAAAAGTGAAGGCAAGGAACAACAACGCCTAAAACATCTAGACGTCTAACACAGACAAAGCAAGCACACGGCTAGGCATCTAGTCTCCCATCCGTCCATCCATCCAGTCAGTGATCCATTCATCAGGGATTCTCTCCGTCCCTCTATCCACCCATCCATCCATCCAAACAGACAGACAGACAGACAGACAAGACAAATAGACTGACTAACAGACAGAGAGGCATCTCTTTCATCCCTCCACTATCCACTATCCCTCCTTCCCTCCCTCTCTCCCTCACCCTCCCTCCCTCCCTTCCTTCCTTCCTTCCTTCCTTCCTTCCTTCCCTCCTTCCCTCCCTCTCTCCCCATCCCTCCCTCCCTTCCTTCCTTCCTTCCTTCCTTCCTTCCTTCCTTCCTTCCTTCCTTCCTTCCTTCCTTCCTTCCTTCCTTCCTTCCTTCCTTCCTTCCTGCCTCCCCCCCCCTCCCTTCCCCCACCCACCCGAACAACCAAGCCAGCCAGCCAGACAGAGATAGACAGACAGACAAACAGACAGACCGACAGACAGACTGATAGACAAACAGACAGAGATAGACAGACAGACAGACAGACAGACAGACAGACACCCAAGCCAGGAAGCACAGTAGACTCTTCACACCCGCAGCTATTCTCGGCGCCTCCCTCTCCGCCTGCTATCTAGGTCGGGGGGGGGGGAGCCCTAACCTTCGGCGTCTCATGGAGGGATTACGGGTTGGGGGAAGGGGAGGGGGTGGGGGGAAGAGGGGGGGGCAGGAAGTGATGGAGGAGGGAAAGCAGCTGGTGGTGGAGGAAGAGGAGGAGGAAGAGGAGGAGGAGGATGGGGAGGAAGAAGAGAAAGAGGAGAAGCAGAAGGACGGGGAAGGAATGGGAAACGAGGAGGATGCGAACGAGGAGAATGAGGAGGATGAGGAAGATGATGATGATGATGATGATGATGATGATGATGATGATGAGGAGGAGGAGGAGGAGGAGGAGGAGGACGGCGACAACAACGACGACGAGGAGGAGGACGAGGAGGAGGAAAAAGAGAAAGAAGAGGGGGAAATGAAAGAGAAGAATGGAAAAATAAATCAATGCTTTTGCAGCAGGGAAGAAGAAAGGAAGGAGAGAAGAGGAATGAGGAAGAGGCAAAAGAGATACGTAGATATGGGAGGGAGGGAGCCGGGAGGGAGGGAGGGAGGGAGGGGAGAGTAAAAGAGAGAACACCACCAATAACAACAACAACCCTGATAAAAATCATCGCATCAGCATCAGCCATGTTCTCCCTCCCCCCCCCCCCCCATAAACTTCCCCTCACCCCCGTTCCTTCCCTGGCATGCAAAAGGCCAAGCACTGTAAACCGTCGTTGATAAGCGGTGCTTCTTCAACTCCCCCCCCCCTCCCTTCCCTTTTTTCCCTTCCCCTATACCCCCTCACTTCTTACCCCCCCCCCCCTTCTCTTCCCATACGCTCTTCCCCTTCCTCTCCCTCTCCCCGTATCCCAATCGCTTCCTCTTCCCTTCCATCCCTCTCCCTCTCCCCATGCCCTCCTCCCTCCTGCTCTCCCCCCCCATCCCCCTCCCTTTTTTCTTCCCTCCCCTTCCTCTCCCTCTCTCCATTCCCTCCTTCCTCCCCATACCCTCTCCTTTTCCTCTCCCTCTCTCCTTTTCCTCTCCCTCTCCCCATGCCCTCCTCCCTCCCCCTCCCCCCATCCCCCTCCCATTTTTCTTCCCTCCCCTTCCTCTCTCTCTCCCCATTCCCTCCTTCCTCCCCATACCCTCTCCTTTTCCTTTCCCTCTCCCCAACCCCCCCCCCCCCCCCCTCCCCCTTCCTTCCTTCCACTCCTCCCTTCCCCATACCCACTCCTCACCCCCACACCCATACCTGATGACGTCACAAATGCAAAGACGCGGACGGTGTCGCTTGCTTTCAGTCAACAGGTCGTCGAGGCTCCGATGGAGATTTGCTTCATCTATTTCTTTCTTTCTTTCTTTCTTTCTTTATTTATTTATTTATTTATTTATTTATTTAGAGAGAGAGAGAGAGAGAGAGAGAGAGAGAGAGAGAGAGAGAGAGAGAGAGAGAGAGAGAGAGAGAAAAGAGATGAAGAGGGAGTGAGGGAGGGTGACTGACAAACGAATAGACACAGGCAGAAACACAGACACAGACAGACAGACAGACAGACAGACAGACAGACAGACAGACAGACAGACAGACAGGCAGACAGACAGAGGCGGCGGCAGACAGAGAGGGAGGGGTTACATTAAAGGGGAGAAGATAGAAGACAGAACAGTGAGAGACGAGCAAAGGGAAGGGATGAGAGGAAAGAGGGAGAGAGAGTGAGAGAGAGGGAGAGAGGAAGGGAGATAGAGATAGGGATAGATAGATAGATAGATTCATACACACACGCGCACGAGAGAGAGAGAGAGAGAGAGAGAGAGAGAGAGAGAGAGAGAGAGAGAGAGAGAGAGAGAGAGAGAGAGAGAGAGAGAGAGAGAGAGAGAGAGAGAGAGAGAGAAACAAATCGAAAACAACAAAAAAACACACAAGAACATGAAAAAGGGCCAAGGAGAAAAAAAAGACAAAACAAAACACTAAAAAGAGGACACACGCCAACGAAAAGGGAGATAGGGAAAAGCGATAAGACACAAGAGAACCCAATACTCTTAAGTGTTGTCTTGTCAGTAAGTCTGTCTCCTTATCTCCTTGACAACGCACTCGCATGTCTCAGGACTCTTCAATAATGCTGTGACCCTCCCTCTATGCCTGCCGTCTGCCACGTTCATTTTCCTGTTCTGGACGTTCTCTTGCCTGCCCGCTGTGTTTACCTCGGCCCGTTCAATAATCTGCTTTGGCGATTCGCTCCTATGTCTGTCGCCTGCCATTTTTATTTTCCTGTTCTGGGCTTGTTCATTCTGTCTCTCTATCTGTCTGCCAGCTTCTATGCTCGTTCTGCCTATTCCATGTCTAATGGTGCGGGGACCCGGATGTGCTGTCTGCTGTCTGCCGTTTGCCGATTCTTTTTTTCCTAATTGGATGCCTCATTGAATGACAGCCTCTTTTTCTGCTTGCTTGTCTTCATTTATGCCTGTTTTGGTCTGCTCCAGCTGTTCAATAGCGTTGAGACCCTTTTTCTTCATGTGTGTCTATCGTTCGCCTCCTTTACTTATTTTTTTCTTTGCCTTCCTGCCTCCCTTTCGTTTCTTCCTCTATGCCTGTTTTGGTCTGCTCCATCTGTTCAATAGCGTTGAGATCCTTTCTCTCCGCGTATGTCTGCCGTCTGCCTCCTTTACATTCCTGGATTCTTCCCTGTCTACCTGTCTACCCGCCTGTCTGCCTCGTCTGCCCCTACGCCTGTTCTGTCTGCTCGGTCAAATCATTTCATGCCCCTTTCCCCCTATGTGCATCTTCCCTCCTTGCTGTCTGCTGGCTGCCGTTTGCCTGCCCTCTTTTCCTTGTTTATGTCTGTCTACTTGATTTACTCCTAGTCCTGCCCTGCCTCCTTTGTTCGCATGTTGGCTGCCTGCTTTATGTTCCTACTGTATCGTTTGTCTCGGTCTTGGTCTCCGGCTTTGTCTTTCATTCTCCTCTGTCGCTGTCTGTTCCATTAACTCCCTTTTATCTCCAGGTTTTCTTTTCTACGCATTTTTTTTTTACTGTCTGTCTACATAGTAAGTGTTTGTTGTTAAGCTATCCGCCTGATTGCCTGTCTTTGTGTCTTTCTGTCTGTCTGTCTGTCTATCCGTCTGTCTGTCTATCCGTCTGTCTGTCTATCCGTCTGTCTGTCTGTCTGCCTGCCTGCTTGCTTTCCCTATGCACATTTTCATCTTGTTTGTAATCCATCTGCCTTCCATGTGTCCATCAGATTGCTACCAGCCTCGACTTCTGCGGATGCGTCCGACGTGGCCGACAGAAAACACTGCCATGACGGATGACAAAACCCCCTCGCTCCTCCCCCTCCACATCCCCTTTCCCCTTCCCTCCCCCTCTCCCATTTCCCTTCCCCTCCCCATCTCCTTTTGTCCTCCTGTCCCTTCCCTGCCTCCCCTTTTCCCTTAAACTCCCCCTCCCCTCCCCTTTCTCTATTTCCTTTCCCCTCTCCTTTCTCCATTTCCTTTCCCCTCCCCCTTCTCCCTTTCCCTTTCCCTTTCCCTTTCCCTTTCCTTTCCTTTCCCTTCCCTTCCCCCCTCCCCTCCAACCTCCCCATCCCCCCTTTCCCTTTCCTACCCCCCTCCCATTTCCCTCCCCCCCCCCCCCCAGCCTGCATCCAAGGGCATGAGATGGGAAGACAGAGTTGGGTTGCCATGATGACACTTACATCCTGCCTGTCGTTCATACATACGCTACTTGCACATGTAAAACACGAACGCACACGCA